TGCATTTCAGGATACTTTGTCGGGTCCGGGATTTCAGCAGAAACTATCTTATCGTAATGGTCTGGGTTTGTAATCTTACGTGGTATCTTATCTACCCACAATGCAAAACAATTTTTCATATCGACACTCATGGAACGAATCAAATGCACATGCAGCATTTATTAAATAAAATATCATACAACCACCTAAAAAGGTATAACTGCAGCATTTCATATCGACACTTATGCTGTCAAGTTCAGAGTTATGACAGAATATTGATTATATGTGAAAAAAAGCAACATATGGTTCTAGAATACGGTTATTATTGTTGTCAATGTAGTATGTGTGTACAAACATATTAGATCCAGAGTTGTTAATGCAGAAATAAAAGTTCAAAACAATTTTTTGTTTCACAGTCTCTCCTAAAAAGTTGCATCTATACAATATATAGTTGTAATATTGTATAAGTCGAAGATATGCATTGTTGGTTGTCAAATTAGAATGCACAATCAACTTAGAATGCCACTTTAAAAAGGTATAATTGGTGGCTGGCAATAATGCCACTTTATAAATCAAAAACACTTCTTCACTACGGTCACACAAAGTTAACTGATGCAGGAAGAACATTCATTTGGCAAAGGTTCTTTTCAAGTATGCAAGATCAAGGTTGAGCAACAACACATTATTTAGAATGTAAACAGTGATCTGGCCAAAATATATGCACCAAAATGGGAAATAATGGTTGATAAATGTATACTATCATAAAGTAGGCTTTTTCTCGACTATTGTAATAAACAGACATGTGTAGGAATAAACAGACAGACATGTGTAGGTATTGAACCAGTAGAGGGAAAACAAACAGACATGTGTGGGAAACTAAAGAGGAATTGCAAGAACATACCTATAGGAAGACTGGAAAATAGCGGAACGCAGAAGCGGAGCTGCAAGGAAACAGTTGAATGCATAAATGCCTAGCATGTACTTATCTGTCTATTTTTGATAGAGAAAAACATTCTATAGTGATGGTACTAAAAAGTTGCATCTATTTTAGCACTGGAACATAATTTAGTGATTTAATAGTGTGTGTTTCATGGTGTGTGTGTTTCTTTCTGTTTCCACTTCTATAAAAATGAAAATTTTGTGACACAAATGGATTGAAAGATGATGTATTTGACTGATCAAGCAATCACAGTATGTCGAAATCTTGGGTTTTTGTTACTTTATT